AAAAAAAAAAAGAAGGATCACCTGATCCCAGGATTTAAAAGTTGCAGTGAGTTTTGATCCTGTCACTTCACTGCAGCATGGGGAGCAAAGCAGAGTATCTGTTCAAAAAAATCTTTTTTTAACAATAATTAAAAAGAAAAAATGAATTATAACATTCCCAACCAAAAAAAAAAAAAGGTAAATACTAAAGTGATAGATATCCCCATTATCCTGATTTGATCATAATACACATGTATCAAAATAGCACACAAACCCCAAAACTGTGAACTATGATATATCAACAAAAGAAACAAAACAAAAAACAATAACCACGCTGGACTGGGGGCTCATGCCTGTAATCCTAGGAAGGCTGAGCCAGGTGGATTGCTTGAGCTCAGGAGTTCAAGAGACCAGCCTAAGCAAGAACCACACCAGGTCCCTAAAAATAGCCTGGTGTTGTGGTGGGCACCTGTAGTCCCAGCTACTTTTGAGGCTGAGGCAAGAGGATCACTTCAGCCTAAGAAATTTCTTTTTTTTTCTTTTGAGATGGAGTCTCACTTTGTCGCCTTTGGTAGAATGCTGAGGTGTCACAGCTCATACCAACCTCAAACTCTGGGCTCAAGTGATTGTCTTGCCTCAGCCTCCCAAGTAGCTGGGACTACAGGCGCCCACCACAATGCCCGGCTATTTTCAGAGACCGGGTCTCGTCTTGCTCAGGCTGGTCTCAAACCTGTGAGCTCAGGCAATCCACCCGCCTTGACCTCCTAGAGTGCTAGGATTACAGGCATGACCCCAAGAATGTGAGGTAACTATGATGCCTTGGCTCTCTATGGATGGGGACAAAGTAAGACTGTCTCAAAAAAAAAAAAAAAAATGACAATAAAGATGATTGATCCCTCCCAATAACCTAATGAAACAACACTAAAGACATGGGGCAAAACATCTACTGACAGTGTTGAAAAAAAAGAAAAACTACCATAACTAAACTAGAAGATTTTAACAAATTTTCCAAAGGCAAAAAGCAAACTGCAATTGTATTGATAGAGAAACCACAAGAGAATACTAACAGAGTGTCAAAACCCCAGACACATGGAAATAGTGGCAATGAGAGCCATTCTCAATGGAGCCCTTAAGAAGTGTCAAGTAAGCTCAGCGCCTGTGGCTCCAGTGGCTGGGGCACCAGCCACATACACCTAAGGTGGCAGGTTCGAATCCAGCTCAGGCCTGCCAAAACAACAATGACAGCTGCAACCAAAAAACAGCCAGGCGTTTGTGGCGGGCACCTGTGGTCCCAGATACTTGGGAGGCTGAGGCAGGAGACTCGCTTGAGCCCACGAGTTGGAGGTTGTTGTGAGCTGTGAAGCCACAGGGGGATAGCTTGAGGCTCTGTCTCAAAATTTAAAAAAGTGTCAAGTAAACTTCTAAGACAGTCCAGAGAAAATGAGACTGCTGTGAGGCAGCACAGCAGTGCTGAAATAAACAATTAACACATCATAACCTGATAAATGCTATCTGCTGGCAGTCAATATTTAGAATAGCTTTTAGATAAAGCACTTCATAGGATATAAGTAGTAACTTCTGAAAAAGTTACCAAACAGAACTAAAATACAGCTCCTCTAAACCTTGACAGTGAAAGTTACAATACAGCTGAAAAGTCAAGAGGGAAAATCAGAAGAAAAGAAAGAAAATCTTACAATAGATTCATCATTCATTGTAAGATTTCATTGTGAAATAATATAGTTGGGAATCAAAAGATACTTTTGAGATTCTAGAAAAACTGAAATTATATAATTTACAAAAATCAAACAGATCAAGACTATTAGATGACCAATGTATCCCAAATTCCTCTTGGCCTACAGAGAAGACAACAAATGTCGTCTAAAGTTAAAAAGTTAAGACACTGAAACATAAAGTATTCAGATTTATGGCCATAACCTTAACAGAAGTGGCAAAAAGTTAAGAAAAGCGCTTTTACTTTTCATGCATTTCATTTAAAAGGTATCATTATTTAAATATCCCTTTCTATTGTTTTTTGCTAATGTGGCATGCTTTAGTTTCCTACCTCAAAAAGTAAAAAAAATTATAAACAACCTTCAAAGGCTCCCTAAGACCTAAAGGCGTTTGCACGAATGGTTCGCATGCCCTTCCCCTACCAACTCGCCACCCACTCACCCCACTACTTCACAGACCACCCCTATTAAGCTGACCCTCCAGTTTTGCCCCAACTACAGATTCCCCGGCAAAGCATTTCTGGCAATGTTCGTAGTTGATGCTGACTGCCAGTCAGCAACTGTGAGCAGTGGCTTCAAAGCCAGCGCCTAGGGTGGCACCTGTAGCTCAAGCGGCTAAGGCGCCAGCCACATACACCAGAGCTGACGGGTTCCAATCGGGCCCGGGCGTGCCAAACAATGACAACCACAACCAAAATATAGTCGGGCGTTGTGGCAGGCGCCTGTAGTCCCAGCTACTTGGGAGGCTGAGGCAAGAGAATCGCTTAAGCCTAGGAGTTGGAGGTTGCTGTGAGCTGTGATGCCACGCACTCTACCCAAGGCGATAGCTTGAGGCTCTGTCTCCAAAAAAGGAAAGAAAGAAAAAAGAAAAAAGCCAGCGCCTGGTATACAGTAATCGCTCAACTATTGATTAATCAATCTGCCGGGTCTGCAGAAGGGCGGGCCACCCCTCGTCTCAGCGCCGGCTCCCTCGTCCCGCCTGCCCCAGCCTACTTACACCCCAAGGTGCGTGTACGACACAATCTTTCCGCTGGCAATGGTCGCCGGACCTGGCTCGAAGTTGAGGGCCTGCAGATATAGCCAGAGATGACGCTTCTGGAAAGAGGTGACCCAGGCCGAGGTCATCTTCGCGGTAGGAACAATTGACTGCGAAGAAAAAAAGAGCGCGCCCAAGCGACTCTTGAGGGCCCTCAAGATCCCTCCCTACGGGCAGCCTGAGGTCGCGGCGGTCGGTCCATTGCCGCCCACTGCTTCCCTCTTCCTTGGAGCCATTTCGCTTCAAAAAGGTCTCCAGTAAATGGAGCTCTAACGGTAGCCCGGTCACAGCTAAAACTAAGCCACCAGAAACCGAGAATCCCGCGCTTAAGGAAGAGCAGTATGCGCCTGCGCCGCCGGGCTTCCGGGAAAGGAGGGACTTCCCGGAGGACTATAACTCCCGCCAAGCTTTGAGCGCTCCCTCCGTCCCTTCCGTCTCACCCAGCCTAGGAACTACAAAACCCACAGTGCACTGCGCGGCCAGCGACCTTTTTCGCTTTGCGTTCCGCTGTCTTGCGGCGATACTTGAGCGTCAGGATTCACCCGTTCAGTGCTTAGGGTTCCTTGTGCTTGTTTATGCTAGTTGTTAAATGAAGTACGGTGGCTCGGTGTAGTGGAAAAAGAAGCACTAGGTTCCATCCTCAACTATTGTAACTAGCTGTGTAACCCTAACCAAGCCTCTGAGCCTCAGTTTTATTGATATTATTGGGAAAATGTTATATGCGTCGTACGCTGAATGACTCTTTCTGCTCTCACTGAAATCTGTTCATCTTCTAAGCATATAGCTTTCTCCCGCAGTCTGCAATTGACGGCTGGTTTTTTGTTTTTGTTTTTGTTTTTGTTTTGAGACAGAGTCTAATTTTGTCGCCCTTGGTAGAGTGCCGTGGCATCATAGCTCCACAGCACCTATACTCGCTGGGCGCGGTGGCTCATGCCTGTAATCCCAGCACTGTGGGAGGCTGAGGAGGGAGAATCGCTGGAGCTCAGGAGCTTGAGATTCGCCTGAGTGAAAATGAGACCCCAACTCATGAAAAAAATGGAAAAACCCAGCCAAGCGCCACTGCGAGCACCTGTAATCCCAGCGGCGTCCAGAGGCTGAGGCAATGGGATGCCCACAAGCAGGAGTCTGAGATTGCAGTGAGCTACCAAATCACTGCACTCTGCTCAGGGCACAGGGTGGGACTCTGTCTCAACAACAACAAAAAAATATTACCTATACCCACCTCACCGTTGATGGTAACTTGTCAAGGCCACTTCTATCAGTGTTCTTTAGCTGCAAACAACAAAACTGACTCTACATTTTTATTATATGGGTATTGTGTAGCATAAAAGATGGAAAGGTCAGGTGGCACCTGTGGCTCAATGGCCCTAGCCCCATATACCGAGGGTAGCAGGTTCAAAACCAGCCCCGGCCAAACTGCAACAGAAAAAATAGCCAGGCGTTGTGGCAGGTGCCTGTAGTGCCAGCTACTTAGGAGGCTGAGGCAGGAGAATCACCTAAGCCCAGGAGCTGGAAGTTGCTGTGCGCTGTGTGATGCTATGGCACTCTACCGAGGGTGATAAAGTAAGACTCTGTCTCTGCAAATAAAAAATAAAAGGCTTGGTGCCTGTGGCTCAAGTGGCTAAGGTGCTAGCCACATACATCTAAGGTGGCAGGTTCGAATCCAGCCTGGGCCCACCAAACAACAAAGATGGCTGCAACCAAAAAATACTTGGGCATTGTGGTTGGTGCCTGTGGTCCCAGCTACTTGGGAGGCTGAGGCAGGAGACTCACTTGAGCCCAGGAGTTGGAAGTTGCTGTGAGCTGTGATGCTATGGCACTCTACCCAGGGGGATAGCTTGAGGCTCTGTCTCAAAAAAAAAAAAAAAAAAAAAAAGATGGAAAGGCCCAGAGAATAAAGCTCAAGAAAGGGCAAGCATATGTGTCAATCTACTGAAGATTTATGTCCCAGCCAGGCCAATTTACCTTATCAATTTACCTTATTTATTTATTTATTTATTCATTCATTTTTTTGAGACAAAGCCTCAAGCTGTCACCCTGGGTAGAGTGCCGTGGCATCACAGCTCACAGCAACCTCCAACTCCTGGGCTTAAGCGATTCTCCTGCCTCTGCCTCCCAAGTAGCTGGGACTACAGGTGCCTGCTGCAATGCCCAGCTATTTTTTGGTTGCAGCAATCATTGTTGTTTGGAGGGCTGGGACTGGATTCGAACCTGCCATCTCAGGTGTATCTGGCTGTTGCCTTAGCCTTTTGAGCCACAGGCACTAAGCCCAATTTACCTTCTTTATATATCTTAATAAATTATTACAAGGTTGGGGCCGGGCATGGTGGCTTATGCCTGTAATCCTAGCACTCTAGGAGGCCAAGGCAGGTGGATTGCCTGAGCTCAGAGGTTCAACATTAGCCTGAGCCAGAGCGAGACCCCATCTCTAAAAATAGCCAGGCATTGTGGCAGGCGTCATAGTCACAGCTACTTGGGAGGCTGAGGCAAGAGCCCGCCTTAAGCCCAAGAGTTTGAGGTTGCTGTGAGCTATGACGCCACAGCATTCTACCAGGGGTGACAATGTAAAACTTTTTGTCTCAAAAAAAAATTATTATAAGGCGAACATTCTTGTAACCATCACTCAAGTCATGAAATGAAACTTCTGCCATCATTACAAAAGTCCTTCCTTCCCCTAAAGATAACCCCATTCTCACTTTCATAGTAATTATTTCCTTGCAGTGTCTTATACAGTTTTACCATCTGTGTATTCTCTAACACTGTAGTTTTTAGATTTCCCAGGACTTTTTTTTAGTCTTCTCCAAGTCATTTTTTCTCTGTCTGTCTGTCTGTCTGTTTATTTGTTTGTTTATTTTGAGACAAAGTCTCACTCTGTCACCCTGGTTAAAGTGCGATGGCATCATAGCTCACAGCAACCTCAAACTCTTGGGCTCAAGCAATCTTCTTGCCTGTCTCCTGAGTTGCTGGAATTACAAGTGCCTGTAACTATGCCTGGCTAGTTTTTCTATTTTTAGTAGAGACAGGGTCTCCCTCTTCCTCACACTGGTCTTGAGCTTCTGAGCTCAAGCAGTCCACCCACCTCAGCCTCCCAGAGTGCTAGGATACAGGTTTGAGCTGCCTCAACCAGCTATCCATATGCAATTTTGTAGACATAAATAACGATATATAAATGTCTGATTATGAAGTCATAAATTTAAGCATACTATGGGATTCAATCTATTACAGTTATTATCCTTATAGAGCAGGGGTGTCCAACCTTTTTTTTCTGCTGCAGATTGGAAAAATAAGAGTTATCATGGGCCACACATTAAATACACAAATTCTAAGGAAGCTGATTAGCAAAAAAAAAAAAAAAAAAAATCCATGCACACTTTTTATGATATCCAACAACACAAATAAGCAAAAAAAGTCCTCACAAAATCAGCGTGCAGGCTCGGCGCCTATAGCTCAACCGGCTAAGGCGCCAGCCACGTACACCTAAGGTGGCGGGTTCGAATCCCCAGCCCGGACCCGCCAAACAACAATGACGGCTGCAACCAAAAAATAGCCGGGCGTTGTGGCGGGCGCCTGTGGTCCCAGCTACTTGGGAGGCGGAGGCAAGAGAATCGCTTGAGCCCAGGAGTTGGAGGTTGCTGTGAGCTGTGGTGCCATGGCACTCTACCCAGGGGGACAGCTTGAGGCTCTGTCTCAAAAAAAAAAAAAAAAAATCAGCATGCAGCCCACAGGCCATAGGTTAGACACTCCTGTGATAGAGTTTCAAATTGTTCAATTTTGGTCAATGGGAACCTGTTCACATTGGCAACCTTTCGATCTAAAACAACAAGAACTTCAGAGTTCATTTTGTACATTTCCTGCCTCTGATCGGGAATCAGCCATTGCTTAAGAAGCCCTGGTGAGAGATGGTATCTCAAGACCACAGTTAGGCATTGGGAATGCTCATAGCTACTGAGTTGGCTACGAGCATTTCTTCTACAATTTACTTATTTAACTGATATTTATGTAATGCAGCTCTGTGTGTCAGGCATGAGCTTTCCACAGATGTTAATTATTTAATCTTTAGAGCAAATCTAGTACTATTCTTATTATACAAATAAGAAAATTTAGGCACAGAGATATTAAGTAACTTGCTCAAGATCATACAGTTAGTGCCTGTAATCCTAGTACTCTGGGAGGCATTGTGGCAGGTGTCTACAAGTCCCAGCTACACGTGAGGCTGAGGTAAGAGAATCACGTGAGCCCAAGAGTTTGAGTTTGCTGTGAGCTATGATGTAACAGCACTCTATCAGGGGTGACAAAGTGAGACTCTGTCTCAAAAAAAATAAAATAAAATCATACAGTGAGTAAACGAGAGGAAAAGACTGGAACCCGGAGGCTAAACTCTTACCCATCATGCTATATGCTTCCTTTCAGTTGACCTGCTTTGGGGGAAAGTAAGAAACCTCCACCAGCAGACCCACTGAAACCCCTCAAAGACACAAGTATACTGTCACCTCAAGAAGGATGAGTGAATTATGGGAGAATAAAAGACAACAAATGTGCACTACATCAACGAAAAAAGAAGTCACTGATTCAAGATTATAAAGTCCAATTTTTATTATAGGTATTTCAGCAATTAAACTTTGAAGAATTATATAAATCATATGACACAGAACTAGGATCTCCTATAAAAGTTTAAATCAATCAGAATTTCATTGCAATTAAGTCTGAGAGTTCAAAAAATAGATTAACACTCCATAAAGCCACAGCAGTAAAACATGAGCAAACTATGAAGTTTAATGTGATACAAATTACACATCCAAAGGAGTATTCTTTTGTTAGTTATTCAACATTTTGCCCTGAGAGGACAGGCCACTAACATGTGAATGATGTGGTTCATCCTCCTCTTCCAAAGCTATAATATCTGGAATTTCGTCAGTCTCAGATGTCAAGTCTATGGCAGTGAAATCAAACATCTGTAAAGAAAAGAATCTTGGATATTAAAACAAGCACAAATGAAGTGAGTTGTTGGGTTTATGTGAGCTCATGGAGACTTTAATTACTGTACCTAGGTGAACTTATCTTCCTCTATAGCTATGCTTCCCCCCCGGCCCCCTCAGTTTTTGGCCTGGGCTGGGTTTTCATTTGCCAGCATATGGGGCCTGCGCCCTACTCCTTTGACCCACAGGCACTGCCCTATAGCTATGCTTTTTGAAAAGGTGTATAGCCTTATTCTTTCTTTTTTTTTTTTT